GTACACTCCCGAAGCTTTTGAGAAGACTACCTACTACCGTACCGCGACTCTTGTCTTCTACTGTACCTACTTTACTGTGTGAATATGTAATGTTTGAACACTTATGTAAAACTTATACTTATTAATGCAATGGTTGTTTGTACTTTTATTACTATATTGCATGTGTTGTGATACTTACCTAAAGTCCTCCGCCCCCGAACGTTTCCGCCGTTCTGGTTTGGGGGTGCGACAGATTGGCTCTTTCTTTTTGTGTTTCTTTTCTTCTTTTTTCCTTTTTTTAAAAAAAAAATCAAAAGATTCTAATTGGCTCTTTTTCATTAGATTTTTTTTCTAAAATCCAAGTGTATATGAAGCTTAGGTGGCAGGTAAAAATGTGATGCGGCAAGGTGTTAAACATGTTACCACTCCCTATAGCCTAACCGTAGTTCCTATTTGTGGTTTCATTTGGTCAAAAATTACACCTAACCGTATTGTGCTCAGTGCTCACTCCTATTCATAGGTGGTATCTTTTTATCTATCAGTGGTGGCTTTGCTAATTTTTCAAAAGCTTTTTTGTTAACTACATTTTTTTGTTCTTTTTCGGTCTTCGTGTTTGTAGAGGCGACCAACCACATAGAGTGTGTTTCTCGGTTAGAGGAGTATATTGCTCATCAATTTCATCGTAGCAGTATAAAGGAAGCAGGTGGATAACTTGAAGGAGTCCCTAGAGGGGTTCCAATTAGCAAGCGTGGAAACAGAATATGTGAGTTTTTGTAATCAATACCAAAGGTTGCCATGGATGGGATTTGAGAATTTGAGCTTTAATATGTCATCAAGGTGCAACGTTTTACTGATGTCTTGATTGAAAAGCTTTAGATGACTGACAGAGTCAAGTTTCATTATGACGAGAAGAAGCAAATTTTTGATCATTTGGCTTGTCTTAGGATGGATTTGGATTGGTTTTTTGATATTAGTTTCCGAACCGTGAGCAATAATTGCCTCAATTTTCTTAGCTACTCGACTATTTTCAGGCATCATGTGTTGAGTACAGTATTTGTTTATATGGGCTCTTTTGCGTCTGAAGCGTGATTTGCGTCCTCTTACTGGTGTGACACCTCTTACTGGTGTGACACCATCTGGTTCTCAAAATCAGAATGAGACTATTGTTGACCTTTATGACCTAGCTTTTATGAATTATGTCTTTGAATATGTAGTGAAGGTCACATGCTTACACTAGCTTAGGTCGTGGATGGGTGGTATTCTTGTAGAGATTGAGTAACATCCCAAATTTAATAATACGCTTGATGACCTAGCTTCTACGGATTATGTCTTTGAACATGGAGTGAACGTCATAGCTTACACTAACTCAGGTCGTGGATGAGTGGTATTCTTGAAAAGACCTGGCAACATCCCAAATTTTATGTCAAACACAAGGCAATAAAGTATATAAGAACTTTAAGGCATGTTGGGCAAAAACAGAAATTAATAACTCAAATTTTATTAAACGGAAACTCATAAAAAAATGAAGTAAGTTAATTGTTCATTTATTTAAAATGATATGTATGTTGAATAAGTGATAAAGTAGAAGGGTATTTTAAAATATTTCGAATTTAAAAATAGAGGGAAAAATCATTTACTTATTATTTTTGGGTCGTATAAAAAATAAATAGAAGATAAATGACATATTGTAAACGGAGGTTAAGTGATGGGATCAAAAGTTGAAATTGGGGCGCACCTTATTTTCTTTTCTTGTGAGCGTCGATCGAATGTTAACAAAAGAAAAGAAAATGCTGGTTTCCTTGTGTGCCTGCTTAGGTCTACAATCTGGAAAGAAGGGGAGACCTTCAAGGTCTCTTTGTTTTCTGTTGAGAGGGAACCTAACCAGAGAAAGGGTAAGGAGAATCGGAACGCAGAAATCATATAAGGGGTGCGTGATTTCTCACATTTGGTAACCCAAAATTCCTATTGTCCTTCAATTTTACAGATTCTTGAGGTAATAACCAAACCCTAGTAAGTTGATTATTCGAAATTATTCAAATAGATGTTGAAATTGGATTTGGACTCATGAAATGCTATTTGTAATGAGCTCAGAAACATGATTGCATGGCAAAAACTTGAATATCTTGAATGGGACAGATTTGAGTTTTACTATCCTTTATTCAAATTGGAGGAGTTTGTTAAGCTAATAACAACATATGCTAACAACGATATGAGGAACCAAAATCAAATATCAATGTTTTTTTCACTGTCCTGTACATAACGGTCAAAGTGCATAATCATGATTAAACATAATACTTCTACGGATGTTATACGATTCTCAATTAATGTTGTATGCAACAATTTCACGTATTAGTTAGTTGTGATAAGGAAACTGCATAGCTTTAACAACATGATTCATTGGCTTTAATTTACATGATCTTTGGGTGTGTAAGTAATCAAAAGATTAGTTAAACATTGCTATAACTCCATTGGTATATGTAATCACCATGTTCATTTTTCATGCGATGGAATTGTTTTCAAGTGGGACCCAATTTGTCTTGTAATGCATCAATGTTTAGCCAACTTGGATTTTACTTTGGTTAAAGAACAAAAGCATGTTAGACTTAATGGTTGATATATCACCATCATAAGGTCATGGACCCAACTGCTACATATTGTTTACCAATTATATTTCTGATGATAGGTCATGAACAAAAGCAACAATCTTTGTTAACTCCATTTCACTCCCAAAATTCACATTTCCAAAATAATCAACCCTGAAAAAATTTCTCATTCATACACTAAACAAATTATAGTGAACTCAAAACTGTTCCTTGATCTGATTTCATATGAGTGGGAAAATTGTCTCGATTTAAATACAAATGACAAAAAACCTAGCTAGTGGTTAATTGGTTGTAAGAATGCTGTATAGAAGTCATAATGCGCCCAACTGAGAAGCAATATCACTGAATGTATATTCACTGCATGGAATTGTGAGGCCGCCCATTTGATGAACATACCCAAATTCTTGCTCTGCCTGATCTAGTAATTCTTGAAATGCAGGTTAGCTTACCAACCATACAGGAACCACAAAACGCTTCTTCTCTTGCTCACCAACATAAATTGCTAAATAGCCTTTCGGAATGTCCATACATTTGGTTGTGCTGCTTCCATTGGATAATGATCTTCTGAGAATTTGTTTTGCTTGAATGATCCGAGGAAAAAGGATGGCCATTTTTAAGGATGGTAGTTTCTGTTCACTTCTAAATCCTGATTGAGGATGGAAACTCTCAAAGCATGCACGTCTTCTTGGTGAAAAGTTGTGAAGGATTTCAGAGGAAGTTGTGGTTGTGTTATTCATATCGAATGGTTTTTATATACAGAGATACAAGGAGATCTTGATAGAGGATGGTGACATCTGGTGGAAGAAAATGCAACCTCACATGGCTTTGTCTTCCAACCTGTAAGACAGATCCAATGTCTAATTCACCTATTAATGATAGGGCCACATATGTTTCAAGAAAACCCCAGAGACCTGAGCCACAATTTCGTGGTTGTTAGGGGCCATTACCACATTCCTCTTAATATTACATGGGACCATGATGCTTCTACCGTTTTTCATTCCCACCTTAATTTAGAATACTGGTGATACAAGTTATCTGCTTTGTTAATTATTTTCTATACACAAGTACATGATTAAGCCATATTATTGCTTGTGACTTTGTGGTTGTGCTATTCAAGATCATACTTTTATACAAGTTAGAAGACACAGCACATGATCTTGCCTTCCTGCTGCAATGTCCCCATCTGTCATAAAATTTCTTATATTTTCACTTATTGTACATTTCATTCTCCAATAAACCTTTAAATATAGAATATGATAGCCAAAAGCTCCGAATTGGAGAACACATCGAATTGGAGCAATGAGTGATGGCAGAAAACAGAAAAAGGCACTTGCAGGTGGGACAAAAACTGCACATTTAACTTTTGATTTGGGAGAACACACCGAATTGGAACAACTTTTCTAAGTTTTTTCATTATATTGCAAAAGGGAAATAGAGTACATCTATAAAAATGAAAATGCTTCCTAAAATATTGGGGGAACTAACCCACTTCTTGATTACGCCTAAAGAAAAGGAAATATGGCCAACATGGCCTTTTGATAGAGTCAAACCACTAAATAAACATATGTTTCCCAATATAACCTCTGGATTAAACCAACATATTCCCCCTTAATCCAGAGTCTTCATTCCAAGATTTTCTCGCATTTCCTTGAACATGTTTCTTGCCAACTGTATGGTGAGGATATCAACCTTGTGTTCATGACTTACAACATGCCTTACAACAACATCCCCCCTTTCAATGCATACTCTAATAAAATGGAACCGGGTATCTATATACTTGCTTCTCCCATGGAAGACGGGATGCTTTACTAGTTCAATAGCTTACTTATTGTTGATGTGGATTGTAACTGGACCTAGTTTTTCCCTGTTACCTCCTGGATCAACCAACGAAGCCAGACTCCTTGACATGTTGCCATAGTTGTTGCCATAAACTCCGCTTCAAACACGATGCAAGTGCAACACACCTCTATTTCTGGGAACTCCATGTCACTGGACTTTCGTTCACGTAGAACACGATTCCACTTGTACTTCTTCTGTCAGGCGTGATTGCTATCCGAGAATGCAATCACTTCATTCCTTCTAGAGCTTTGAGGTTAAAACAGTCCAAGATTTAGAGTTCCCTGTACATATCTTAGAATTCTCTTCACAGCTTGATGGTGAAGTTTAGTGGGCCTTTCAAGGAACCGACATACAATTCTCACTGCATATGCTATGTCAAGTCTAGTGTGGCATAAATATCTCAGACCACCAACAATACTTCTATATTCAATAGCATTTACGGGTTCACTATCTTCATCTTTTGTCAATTCCAGCTTGTGCTCCATGGGTACCTACGCCCCCATTGCATTCTTCCATGCTTATTTTTTTCAACAAACTCTTGGCATATGATGTTTGTTTTAGGTTGATTCCTTTCTCTTATTGAGTCACCTCAATACCCAAGTAGTATGATAACAACCCTAAGCCGCTCATCTCAAATTCCTGGTTCATTTTTTTCTTGAATGTGTTTACTTCATTTTCGTTTCCTCCAATGACAATGAGGTCATCAACGTAGACCCCTACTATCAACACATTGTCTTATGACATTATTGTGTAAACTGCATACTCATGAGCACACCTTTTAAAACCAATTTGCTTCAGGTACTTGTCCAGACGTGCTTTCCAAGCCCGAGGGGCTTGTCAAAGGCCATACAATGCCTTGGATAATTGATAAGTCTATTTTATGAATATACTAAATTGTACTAAATATGTTGAATTGATGCATAATTGTCCAAGAATGGCACTACTTTGATGAGTTGTTGAACTATATATGCAGGTAAATATTTAGTGCTAAAGTGGGCGGAACCTACAAGGAAAACGAGCAAAATGAAGCTAACAAACGTGGGAGACGCATTGCTAAAAGAATGAAGAAAAATGGTGCTGAGAAATTTGACCACTCTTCAATGTTTTGATCATATCTCAAGATTTAGAGCTCCAATTGACATGAATGAAGAAGTTCTGGAAACTAGACAAAATTTCCTACAACTTTCATGTTTTGCGTTTTTGCTGATTCTACCGTTTTCATCACCAAAAAGGGGCAACAAAGATGAGAGACGTCCTAAAACGCGTCTAAGACGCCCCCTGGGACGCCTACCCGTTTTAGGCCATTTTCAAGAGCAAATCAAGGACGGCAGAAGACATGTAAAATGTCCCGAAGGACTTCCAGACGTCCTATATGACATCTAAGACGCCCACTATGACGTCGACCCGGAAAACAGCTCCGAGAATCAGTTTTTCAGCACCTATTTAAAGGAGATTTAACCCTAATCGAAATAGGACTTCTCCCCTGCGATTTTCCACAGTTTTGGAGGGTTCCAAACACATTCAAACCTTCTCCAAGCACCATCCTAATCATCAATTTCCGAATCTAAGGCGATAAATCATCAAATTCATTATCATTCAACGTTTGAAGATCGTTCAACCGACGGATCTACATCAATTCCATCAAGCTCCAGATTCGATTACTTTTTCCCCAAGGTTTATTTGTTCTATAATTTGATAATCATTAGGCTACATTTGTGTAATGATTTTGAGTTTGTTTTTGAATTCTATTATGTATTTCATTTATTTCATTCAAGTTAGTGGTTTTATGAACTCAATGGAAGGCTAAATTATTAGGGTTACTTCCGGGGATGTTTAGGACTTTTTGATGAACACACTTGATTATTACTTGAT